GATGATGATGATGATGATGATGATGATGATGATGATGATGATGATGATGGGTGCATTTGCAACTCTGAGTTGCCGAAGTTGGAAGCTTTGCTTTGGGCGGTCTCAAGACGGTGAAGAGCGGTGGCCCCCGGCTCTTCTCCCACCAACTCATCACATACGAAGTGCGACTTGGCAGGGGCTTTTCCCAGTTTCAGCACTGGAGGAGCCCCATTCGTGGTGCCGAACGCTTCATGGATGTAGCACATGACCCGGAAGGCCTGACGTGCTCGGCGTTCGTTCCTCCTGCACACCAGACCAGCCAACCCAGGTGGGCTCCAGAGTCCTGTTGAAGAGTTGCACTGTTCTTGTAAAGTCTTTGCCGAGTGAACTTAACAGCTTCGGACGAGCTCAAGCTTGTTCGCAGGATTGAATCCTAAATCATTGGTTGCCCGTTGTGCCAAAGGCTGTGAAACGGATTGATTCTTCTAGTTACTAGTAGTAATGCCCTTGTTACTAGTAGCGATGCCCTTGTTACTAGTAGCTTCTAGCTACTACTAGCAATGCCTATTTTACTAGTAGCTTGTAACGCGATGCTGTCCACGTTTCGGAGCATGTCCAGTGTTTTTCAAGGCTTCAGACGCTTCCTGCCGCGCAAAAGACGCTTCCTGGATGCCTTGAGAGTCCTGGAGCGTCGTGGGAAGAGGGAGACGAAGCACCGAACGAACGAACGAAGCAGCGGTGTTCATTGGGCGTTGGGCCGGGCGTTGGGTCTTTGGATGTGGCCCTTTGCATGGAGTTTGCCGCCGGTTTCAGGTTTGGATTGCTGCGCCACGAATCAATGTATGGGCTTGTAGGGGTGTGTAGTCTTAATAGGGAGACCAGGGGTCCAATAGGAAGGTCTCTGTGCAGTCTCGAATCACATTCATGAAGCACTTGGCAAGGCAAGCGCAGATGTTTCAACAAGAGCGCGAAGAGTTTGGGGTTTTATAACATTTGCAAGCACGCGTAGTCAACTGGCCTGGCTGTGAATCTCCTTTTGGCCTGGAGACGCCTTTTTGCATGGTTTTGGGGTCTTCAGTGGTCAATGAGGTGTCTTTGATCAAGAGCGTCTTTGATCTCCAAATCTCAGGTTACAGTATTCTTGTTCCTAGTAGTAACAAGTGCATCGCTAGTAGTAACAAGTGCCTTACTAGTAGTAACAAGAAGCTAGTAGAAACAATAAGCTAATAGCTTCTTGCTACAGGTAGTAAGGCACTTGTTCCTAGTAGCTTATTGGCCTGGCGTCTTTGATCTCCAAATCTCAGGTTCTTTAAGTTTCCCTGACACCTTTGGCGCCCTATGGGTGTGGGACCCTTTCCTCCCAGGTCTGCACTGGCTCTGGCGGGCCTCGTTCCGTTGGCCTTGGCGCCGGATGCCAGCGTGTCGCCCCCCAGGGGACGGCTGGGGGCGGCAGGTCGGGTCCCGACGTTCGGTTCAGTTCGAACGAAGAGCGGACGGTGTCTGTCTTCGCATCGAAGATGCCATGTCGCAAAGAGGTAGACACCCGCAACTGCCAACACAAGGAGAAAGAGTTGGACACCCGCAACTCTTCCAATTCACTGAACTTGATCCCCTGGTCTTGAGGTCGCTTGGGCTTGTAAAAAGGTCACTTAGTACACTTAGGAACTTCCAAAACTCACTTTGAAGAAGCTGGAACATGTACCAAACGTCGGGACTCTGCATCAAAACCCCGCAAAATAGGTAAGTTTTTATCAGTGTCTGAACGACTGGCTTCAAGTCTTTGGGGGAGTCAAGGATTCAGGCCGTCAGGGAAGAAACATCAAACCAAGGCTTCAAGGCTTCAAGGTAGCAGGGCGAACATGCAGCGCTTCAAGGCTTCAGGTCTTGGAAAAGTCACCTGGGATGTGCCCAGCACATGGCTGTTCCTTTTTATTTGAATGTGCTCCAAAACGGCCAGCGGAGTGCTGCGGAAGTGCTGCTCGAAGTGACTTGTTTTGAGTGATTTGGGGTTTTGATTTGGCCTGTACCAATGCAATGGTCATTCTTGGTGTGCACAGTGCACTAAGAAACCGGCAGTGCCAAATGGTTTCAGCTCACTTCGACACTTGTGGGTCCTCCGCTATGAGGTGCAGGTACAGCTTCTCAGCCATCTCCGTGCCATCCGTCCCAAGGTAGCTCAGGGATGGGAAATGGCCGTCGTGGGTCCCCTGGGCTTGATCAACGCAGGCGCGCGGACGCGCCTTCCGCGCGGGTGATTCGCCCACGGCGCTTCTCGCGCGAAGCGTCGAGGTGTGAGGCGAGGCGTCGAGGCGCCTTGGCCCATGGATGTGGTGCCCGGTGTAGGCTTCGCTCGGACTCCGGCGCCAGGGTTGAACCTCTTCAAGACTGCCTTGGGCATCTATGCTTTGATGAGTTCCTGTGGCGTTGAGCCGTCGAGCGGGCTGGTAAGGGGGATGCAAGATGAGTTCCTGGGTCATCAGCACAGCTTAAACGGAACATCATCAACATAACCTACTCTTTTAAAGAAACACAACTACAAGCACACAGTCACAACCCATTTGTGAGCTACTCAACAAGAGGTCTGCTGGGTCGGATGATGGTCAATGATGGTCAACCTTTCCTTCAACCAGCCTTTCCTTGGTGTCGATCCAAGGCTGGTTGTTCGCCTTCGGCATCATCGACTTCCGAAATGCACCTGGGCGGGTGGGAGAAGTCAAGTCAGGATGGACCGGAGCCAGACCGACCATACAGTTGGATTTGATGTCCAACCAAACAATGGTCAGAACAATGGTATGGCCGGTATGGTATGTCCATACCATTGGCGGTCTTCTGTTTCAATCAAAGAAAGTTGGTCAGAACCCTTGCCACCATTCCATGAGGAAAGCTCGTCGTTTGCGGGACGGTTTGTTGTTCTTTTTGCGGCCTACCACCCTTCGACCGGACCAATCTGATGAGCTTTTTCAGGGCCGGGGCGGAAGGCCGGTGCGGCAGAAGGCCAGGGCTGCGGCCGCGAAACGAGGAAATCGTCCAGAAGATTCAGGGCGTCTTGTCCTCCATCATCGATCCTGTCTTGGCGCCCCTGCGGGGCATCATTCCTCCGTGACTTGGATGCGACCCAGATCGACCAGAGATCTCCGCTCTTCGATGGTCTGAGACCTGAGAGACGCGGTCGTCCTTGTCTAGCAGCTTTGGACTGAGGCTTGCAGGTTTTGACATCTCTTTCATGGTTCTGTGGTCCGTGGCCCAAGACGAAAGACCATTTTTTCAAGGACAGGCAGCTTTGCCACGTTTCGGCCGTTCCGTGGAACATCCGTTACGTTTCGGCGTCGCCGCATTCCTTTGCAGCTTTCGGCTCCCGAGGTTTGTCATTGAGCAAGCGCAAGCTGCGGCTGTGACCATCATGTTCGGCCGCTCGCTTGCATCGCAGAGAACGTTTCCGCCGTTTCCGCCGTCCGCGCACCCGAGAGATGAAGGTCTGGGAAATGTTCCAACATTGCAGACAGCGCTTACATGCCTTTGATGTTGAGCTGTTGATTTCAGGAGCTGCCACCTACGGCAACTACTATTACTGAGAATTTTCCGCGAGTAGGGTCACAAGAGAGGACCAACGCATCGTCGGTACCACGCGTTGTGTCGACATTCAACTTTTAAGCTTTGGCTGAGTGGGGATTGTTGGAATTCTCCACTTTGCCACGCTGTTTTCTGTGTGCGCGAGAAAACAGCGCTCACTGAATGGATGTAGTGACTATCCTTTGGTGAGGTGTTCAAGGCGCTGTGAGCCTTCAAGAATTTGGGGTGGTTTTGAGAGGAATTGTCATATATAACTGGTTTGCAGCTCCCAGCCAGATCTCACCTCACCTTCGGCCCTAGCCAGACCAGAAACTCTGGGCAGCCAGCTTGGAGAGGAGACCATAGGAGACCCGAGTGTTCGGGAGCCTCCGATTTTCAAGGTGCAGCCAAATGGCTCGAGCGATGGGGCTGCTGCGCCTTTCAAACTCCACACTGCGAGAAAGGAAAAAGGGAGGTGTCTTAAAGTAAAGGAATCAAACAAGGTCCACCCTGTGCAAAGGAGAATGGTTTGCCAAATACAAGAATAGTACTACAATATAATTGAAAGATCAGCTACCGTACGTAGTAGCACCTTGGGTCATGGCAAGACTCTCTCGCTGTTTCTCTCTTGATCCTGTGCAGAACCTGTACAGTGTGAGAGTCTGACCAAACCTTTGCATGTCGTGGCCCTTGTTCAAGGTGGTAAAGTTCAGTGCTGCTGAAGCATATGCCCTGTGTGCACTGCAGAATTGGCTGGTGAGCAAAGATGAGTCGAAGTTTGGTTTATGCAAATCAGTCAGTGACAGTTGAAGAGCAGAATGATTCGAACGATCATCAATGATCAGTCTGGTAACCATGACCGGAAACCCATGGTTTGCGGGATGTCAACCCCCAAAGAACATCAACCCCAGACAAAAGCCACCTCGACAGAGTCAAGCGCTCCTCCAAAACAGGTCAAGCGGACATCGTTTGGAGATTCCTTTGCTAGTAATTACAATTCTAATTAAATTCTTATTGTTACTAGCAGTAAGGCACTTGTTCAGAGTAGCTTCTTGTTACTACTAGTAAGGCACTTGTTACTAGTAGCGATGCACTTGTTCCTTTGTCTTTTTTTTCGTGTCCCTTCAATGTAATCCGCTCCCATGTAGCGAGCCACATGGCGTAAAACCCCCCCGGATGCGGGCGGCCATGGTGTCCAGGCGGGGTGCACGGACGGGCGGCCATGCATGACCGAACCGGAGCGCTGCTTGAGAACTGGTGGGAAAGGAGTAGCACAGAGTAGCCACCTAGAAGCGATGGCCTCTAGCGATGGCCTCCAACCTACTTGAAGAAACCAGTCGAGTTCAGGACCAGTCCTGGAGTTTCTCATTGCCCCTGTTGAATCCATACATTGGTCGAGGCCTCACATCCGTCGTCAAGCACAGAACCGACTCCTTAATCAGAGAAAATGCAAACAATCTCTAACAGGCATCCAACTCCAGTCCACATTTTGCTGCACCCTTCTGCCCTTTCAGAAAGGCTCACGGCATTTGGCCGCACCGGGAGGCAGGTGGGCGCGTGATGGTCAAGCATGGCCACCAAAGTCATCCGATTTCAACAACTCTACATCAACTCTACACCAACTCTACACCAACTCTACATTCTACACTCTACATTGCTACATCAACATCATTGTGGAACTTTGTTTTTGTGGCGTTCGGCCAGTGGCCTCCTGACCTTCCGTTGGCAGCCTTGGGAATCGCTCCAGGGGCCACAGAATTGCGCTCGACCGCTGGGCGCTGATGGGGGGAGACTGGGGCGCGTTTGGAGGGCTTCTGTCCGGACCGTTTTTGGGGCCTGTAAGTGTGTGATGAATGACATGAGCTGCAGACATTTTGGGAAGTCTCACCTCAAGCATCCATGGGGCGTGGAAGCCCGCCAGTAGTGTAAGGTATAGTCTATAGATCCAGACAGGATGGACCATTTAAGACTCAATAGACATAGACATATATATATATATATAATATATATATATTTTTAGGATCTTTTAAGCCCGGTCCTACTTAATCAAGTAGGCGCCTACATAATTAAGGGAGTAAGCCTCTAGCTACTCAAGCTACCCCACATACAGGCGCGGGTTTGCTAACGCTTCTTCAAGGAAACTGCCCCCGCTGCCTGAGGGCGGTGGCAAGCGCTCAGACGAACGCCTGAGGCCTTTGCCCTCGTGTGGCTGGCATCGTCGCGCAGGTGTGGCACGCTTTTCTGTCCCAACCGGTGAACCATTTTAATAGGGAGACCCCCTAGCCCAGTGGGTTTTAGTCCATTTTCATCTATTTCCCTTCTTCCAGGTCTAATAGGGAGCTCTCATGAGGTTTCCCGATTTTAATTCACACCCAAATGCTCCGGGGCGGAGAATCACAGAATTCAATTCGTTTGTTTTATTTTCCTTCTGAAGGAACCACAGAGAGGTGGCATGAAGGGCTGAGTTGGAGGATTTGCTTCAATGTTCCGGTTGGTAACCTGGTACAAAGCTTCTCCAGCTCGATAGTAAAAAAGCTTCACCGCAACCTACCTTCAGATTAGAAACCGAAAAGCTTTCCTTGGAGTACTTCTGGATACTTGAGCACTTCTTTCTTTTCGTGCAGATGTGATTCTTTCTGGGCATCCAGCAGCAGGATGTACGTTTCTCTTAGAGCTTCCGCCAATTGACAAGGCTGGGCCCATTGATCATGCTGGGGTGCCAAGCGGCTGTGAGGCGCAGAACACGACGGCACCGGTTTCGCTCCCACTGGATGAGGCTGGACCACTTGAACTCTGAACTGACGTGAAGACTGGAGAATTGGTGCCCGAGCAGAAGATCTTAGTAGTTATTACTTAAGTTTCCCTAAACATCTAGGAACCAAATCATTAGTGCGAGCTATCCTGCATCCTGTCAGTAGTAGCTATTTAAGCTACTAGCTACCTGGCTACTAGCGGCCTGAAAAGGGAAGGGGAAGGGCAAAGACGCCCCCCCCAAAGAAAAACGTTTTTGTAAACAGGTTGCCTCAGACCATTTTTGTTGGCAGACCGGGTGATCGGTGCCGGCTTGGCAGTTCGCAGCGTTGGTCGAGCGGATGCGCGAGGAAGCGCCCAAGGAGGTGGGGGGACGCCCTTTTTTTGTCGCTCCGGGAGAAGGGAGTTCTGAAGGGGCACAGCTTGGTAAAGAACTGTGTGGTACACTGTTATGCTTGAACACTTGGGCTGCCAGATTTCATGCCAAACAACGAACGAAGCGGAGCATGACGCACGCCGCAAGCCTTTTCTTGAATAATGAAGCTGAACAAACGTGTCAGGCGGTGGAATCCATGGAAATGGCTTTGGCCAGGCTCCGCAAACAACAGGCGCGGTGAATCCCAGCGTTTGCACAACAGCAACCCCTTTTCAATACTCTTCAGGACACAGGACAATGATCAGTTGGCCTCCAATCGGATTATGTGCTTTTCTTCCAAAGCATTGAACACATTTCTTTTTTTTTAAATCATCTCACAATATCATTCCGTTACTACCAGTTTCAGCGTTTGATTTGCAACAGGTTTGGATTTTTGCCACACACCTCTGACAAATTGTGAACATCCATGCGCATTTTTTGAACGGTACGTAAACAGGCAGAGCATGGCAAACCACAGTGGGTTTGAAAAGTCCAGCTGGATAGGTGAGCATCTCCATTTGAACAGAGAAACAAATCTTTCGGAACATTCGGAACATGCTTTTGGCGAACGCCTTCCTCCCGGGTCAACGTTCCGTGGAGAATCACTCCAGAACGCCACCTGTGGACCCGCGATGGAGCCCATCTTCCCCATGACACACCGTGCAGATCGAGCGTGCTGCTCTGATGAAGCGCAGCTGGAGCGACACGGCCTTTGAAGAAGGAGAGGCCCGGGATACGTGGGAGAAACGAGCGGAAGCGCCGAGGCAAGTTGGATTGCAGAAGAATTTCCAGGAGAATCAAACACTTGGGGTTTTAGATGACTTTGGCACCTCCCAAACAGAGGAAATGATCCGGTCATAACATCACTGTACAATTGCAAGTTGCTCTGGATCGTTGAATTCATGTATTCATTTCGGATCTTCACTGGGACTACAGAGCTTTTCATAGCCCATGTGCATGTTTCCTTTTTGGAGCTACCGAGCCTCGGTTTCGAGCTACCGAGCTGACAGTCTGCCAGGCGGGGAACGATCGGATTTTGGAGCAGTTCGAGCGCGAGTTGGTCTCCATCCTCCAGCGTTCCAGCCGGGGTCTGGCAGACGCAGAGGCGAGGGAGATTGTCGTGAAGTGGAGGAAACCGCGGTTTTAGGGCTCAAAAAGGATCGTGATTCAAACATTCAAGGATGTCTAGGATGTGTGGACTTCTCCGGGTCAGACCTCAGATTGGATGCTTCGGCCCCTTCACAAAGGCCGCTTAACCGCTTATATAAACCACCACGGCGGAGCCTGTGGTTTGGTCTGCAGTCCTTCTCTCGGTTGGCGACGATCCCCGAAGCCTAGCAGGTCCAATTGAGTCCAATTGGGTCCGGGCAGGTCTTGGGCAATGCGATTGACCTCGCTGGAGCGTGACCGGTGTCCGACGTCCGGGAGGGGTGAGGGGGGGAGGTGCTTCCATGGTCTAGACCATTTCAGTCAAGGACAGTCAAGGTATTTCTATATAGAGTATTTTTCATGTATTTTCTTGTGTGTGTGTGCTTTCCTTTCTCTTTGAATGTACATATTCTTTTTGACTACTGGAAATCAGCGACATCGAGATGAGAAGGGTGCTTTCCTTCGTTTCTTTGCGCATGCCTTTGAGGAGCACAAGTGAGAACATGGCGCACTGTGTGCAAGCGAGATCTATTATTCTTTTTTTTTTTTTTTAAAGACATGCGCATGTTGCTTCTCTTTAAGACTTGGGCATTCCGATGTCTGCCCGGGCTTTTGGCTCAAGAATTATGGTGGCTGTACAATCCAGATCCAACCGCTGAAGCTGTGCCTGGGACTGCATGAAGCGGTGTTTGGTCTCGACATTTACAAAAACATGCATGCAAAGACGAAGGTTTGTTTCAAGGACACACCATTCCCATCCAAGACCACAACAACTTCTGCCAACGAAACAAACACAGCGAACCATACCATGCAAGGCCCATTTCTGTCTATTTTGTTGCGTCACCTCCGCAAGGGGTCTCGTCTCGTTCTCAAGGCAAAAGCCATTCCTCTGCTGAAATCCCTTAGCCGCTGATGCTCCCGAAACATGTAGGTGTCCTTTCACCATGTCATCCCAGTGAAGTCTGGAAGGCAAGGTAGAGGACCAAAGCGCTAACCACAAGCACCATCACCCAAGAGATAATTGCAGAAGGCGGTGATGGTGCTGTTGGTGATCACTCCTTGTAGTGTCATCCTATCAACCTCTCAGCAACTTCCCAAGAGGGTCATGGTGTCCGTGTGATGAGGCCTTCCCGTGCCGCTGTGGCAGAGTGGCCTGGCAGAATGGAGCAGATCTGCCGATGGGTCGAACGCACCGGGACGAATGGTGAATGGTGCAGTACATATTAACGGGTCGAAGAAACGGTACCAGGACGAGGACCGCGCTTTTGGACACCAGGCATGTGAACCTGCGGATCGGACGTGGATTGGGGCGGACCGATCCGCTGAGCGGCCCAAACGGTCAGGTGGGGAGGGCAAGCTGTGGCAAACCACGGCTGCTGCATCCAGCTCGGCAGCCAGGTGTGCCACGAGTCGGTGGACTTGGTTCGTTTTTCCTCGTGGTCCACGGCCCGCATAGAGCGCTGGCATGCGGGCGAAGGGCCCCCCCTTTTAGCGGGCCGTGACCGGGACGTGTTCTTTCGACTCTCCAGGCCAATCAGTGCAAAGCCATCCCCACCTTCAACTGAGTCGGGGCCTCAGCGGGAGAAGTTGGACCTTGAGGACTGAGCTCTGAGAACGAGTTGGTAGGGACATTCGGAATGTCCTGAAGGTCCTGAAGTTAATGATTGATGTAACAAGCAACAAATATAGGTCAACCTGGTATACAATGGATTCGTACTACTTCTCAACTTCACACCCATCGCCTGGCCTTTGGATGAATTCTTCTCAAGGCCATCAGTGCAGCCTTTGGAGAACTTCGGAGGCACCGGTCCCCGGTCGGTGGCCGTTTCCTTCGTCGCCCACCGGTGCCCGGTGCCAGGACGGTCGGAGCGTTATCGCCATCGCGTTATCGCCCAGGCGGTCAAGTGATGTCGGCAGATGATTTTTTACCAGGCGCGAGAGACACACGAGACATACGGGGGGTGGGTGACCAGCTTTTTGACCGAAAGGAAAAAGAGATGATGAGAGCAAGTGAGATCTCAACTCGTTTTTAGGGATGACGAGAGGTTACACTCCAAAGAATTATGGAAGTGGATGGCAGGGCCCCCACGACCATTTTCCAAAAACAAAACGGTAGTTTTGAGATGTTTTGAGTCTGTAGCAAACATAATCAAGGTAGAAAAACATATATCATATTGAGGGGCTGGTGGGGTGAGACTCAGATACCAAAAAGTGAGGATCAGCAACTCGGTTTGCTCGAGTCCTTAGCCGACTTTTGTCGAGTTCGAGGTTTTCTACCTTGATTTTGTTTGCTGAGATGTTTTGAGTCTGTAGACTTAGGGTGATCCACTGAAGATGTCGCAGATTGGAAGACTTGCCCTCAGGCCAGATAGTTGACGAGCCACCCTCTACGGCGGAAGTGTCGCTTGGCATGAAGGGACGAACGAGTTTCAATGCAACTGCGACGGCTCGCTTTCTAAGGCTTGCCAACATCACAGTAGACAAGCTGGATGACAGCGTCAAGAAATGGCTGAATGCACATGCCTCGGGAGCAGTTGCGACCGCCGGTTTGAGATTGTGCATGACAGCTGTGAGAGCGAATCACCGGGAATTCTTTTGTACCTCTGCAGAATGCCCGCAATGTTTAGTACAATCATCACGTGGAGCATTATATTGTAATATATAATGATAATGAGCATCAAATACGACGATATCTTCAGGATTGCCCCGCTTGATGTCCGTTTCGTAAGGATGGGCCGGTGCTTGCCCCCCATCGCTGCTTGAGCTGTCTAAGTCTAAGACATCTTGAAGACTCAGGACCAAAACACCCAGACTCTGAATGGGGCCTTGGCTTTTGTGCCCTTCATCCTGCAACAGGCGCACCAACCACCGGCCCTGTCCCAGATATCCGGGGTCGGAGTCGCGTTGTCGCGCCAACGCGAGCGACGAGTCGAAGGGATCCGGTGGTCGTGGTCGTGCGGGTCGAAAGGAGTCACGCAAGCTGTTGGACATGGTCTAAACCAGTCACCGGGGTTGCGGAACCACTGGTTGGTTCTAAACTCGCCGTTCAGTTGGTCGGAGTCTGTTGGAATTTCTCATGGTTGGTTCTCCAGGTTCTTCTCCCCCATGGCTCTCGCTGGAACGGACCCCGACCCGGACCCGTCCTGGAGGCCTACTATGAAGGTCAGTTGGACGAAAAGCAGATTGTCATCCACAAAGGGTCCGGTGGCCCCACGCTCAGAGCGATCGATTGATTGGAGACCACCCGAGCGGACCGGTGCAACTGGATGATGATGATGATGATGAGGAGGAGGAGGAGGAGGCCGCTGATGAGGATGCTGCTGCTGATGAGGCTGCTGCGGCTGCTGCCGACTTCTCTGGTGTTTTTGGCCGGCCTCTATTCACCCGACGCCCAGGCGTCGTCTTCTCCGACGCGAGTGGCTTCACGGCCTTGACCGAGACCTTGGCGAAGAAGAGCAACGGCCTGGGAGCCCAGTGGCCCCTCGCCCTTCGCGGTCGCCGGAACAAGGAGTGGTCTTAGTTATTAAGATGGGCTGCCGGGGGTGGTGGCATGGGGTGGTGCTTCTCATCCTTTTCGCCGTGCTTTGTGGTGCTTCCGTGGTGCGACTTCCGGGGGGGCTGCTCCGCTGGGCACCGGTCCAGGCGCCGAGCTGCTCTCGCAGTGCTTGACGGTGCGGGGACCCGGCGAGAGAAGCGAGCCAGCGAGCCAGCGAGAGAGTCTGAGGTTGCCATATCATGTGGCCCTCGGCAATTGTAGGTTGCCATATCATGCCATATTTTAGACCATCCATGTATGGACTACTTATGAAAAAAACACATAGCATACATGAAGAATATCATGACGGGGTGTTCATGAATGGAACTATGGAATATACATGGATGGTCTGGGTATGTTGACGTATTTTCCATTGACCTGTCGGGGACTTGGGGGCACCTCATTTTTTCAGCTATAGGCATTCGTCCAAAGGTGAGATTTGTTTGACTTGGGGTTGAGTCTGAGAAGATGTTTTGGTGCACATGGTTCCGTCGGCTATTGCTGATATACCTTTGATCAGCACAGGACGCTTGCAATTTGAGATGGAGGAGAGTGTAAAGAATCTGATGCATTTTGGATCCAGCAGAAAGGCATTTCAGGGATCTCCAGGATGCAACAATATCGCCTTAGGCCTTCTTTACGCCTTTGATCGACTTGATCAACGCCTACCGCGGGGACACGATCAAATTCAGTGGTGATGCACTGCTGCTGGGCAGCAAGGCATAGAGCCCTTTTGGCTCGAACCCCTAGCAAAACACGAGAATGTGTGTTGAAGCATATTGGTCCGGAATCCAAGAAGTCTTCCCAGCTTTCCCGTCTAAAATCCTCCCATAGCAGCAGCAAAGGCATTTGCCCAAACCTGGAAAGCTAGGTCGACCCCCATCAGGATCATAGGGCTTGACCGCTTCACTCTGGATCTTTGGAGAGGACAGGGTTCAAAGGGCCTCAAAGACTCAATGGTCGAATTGAATCCAATTGAGGCTGATGGACTCTCCTCCAAGTCCTTGTTTGCATCATGCGCGCGGTCAAGTCCAAAGTCCGGACTTCGCTTCCCCTCTCCTTCAAGACGATTTGGAACTACACCACACTCCTTCCCTGGTGAGGTCGATCCATGGACGAGCCAAAACGATCCGAAACGTGCGATGTCACGGTGCTGAGCCCCAAACACATGGGGACTTTGATGGGGAGTCTGAGGTTCCATTTCACCCCCCGATCATGATCCATAGATTTACCCCTCCGGGTAGGCTGAAGGCATGAGGCCTCAGCACCCATGAGCCTTCACCTCTACCTGGTGGAAACCGCTGAGGACGATCTACTTCCCTTCGGTGGACGATACCAAGTCTTCAGCCTTCAACGGTACCTAAGCTTTGGAACAGTTTCGGTGTGGCCAACTCGGCACAGCGGCGAGGGTTGCATGTGTTCATCCTGGAGCTTTTGACCTCCTTTGTTTAGGTTCTGTGGGGATGGGGATGTGGACCCAGATTTGGCCACATCTAATTACGCCCGATGGTTTTGTTTGGGTGTGGATTGAACTTTGAGTCTCAACCTCGACATCCGGCAGCCATTGCCCATTGTCTCAGACTGAACATCACGCCCTCCCATCCGGCTCCCGCACCGACTCTCTCTCTCTCTCTCTCGCCGTCGAACGCCCGATTTCGGGCCCCGACGCGTCACGCGTGGCGCCTCCGGATCCAGCCATCCGACGTGGCCTTGCACCCTTCGGATCCTCCGCGCGCGACGGGAGCGACGCGAAGAAGCGACGCCCGGCCCCAAATCGGAGGCATCGTGCCTCCGCATGGTAGCTTTGGGCTGGACGACTTGGGTCCAATGGCCACCGCGGTGCTCCGTGCGTGGCGTGGCAGAGGGGGGGGCGGACTGTCTGCCACCGCGGGGAGGACGTGTCTGTGAGAGGAATCCATAGGAAAGCACATGACACACACATTATATTGGTGTTCTGGGCAAAGAACCTAATGCCATGCTTCTGTGCATCAGTGCCCAAGGTTCATATGATCAGGGGGATCGGTTGCTTGGGACAGCCAGCGGTATCTCAGCATTGGCGAATCTAAGCCAGATATTTTGGATTTTCTTCTCAATTTGACAGCCACCGAGTTTGGAATCCTCCATGTTACCCCCTGATGTTCAACAAGGCTTTGGCAACGTGAAACATGCGCAACGTGACATGTGCGTTTGCTCCACTGAGGTCAGCGTGTTGCATCGAGATTCACAAACGGTTGCACATGTTCGAGACAGGCGGGCACCGAGCACCTTCAGTTATCCAGTTGATTGGGCCCCTCGACTCGCCCTGAAGGGTTTCTTGGTCGAAAGAAAGCAAATCGATGTGCCACGGATCTTTGTGCCAATACAGCCAATACAGAATGATTGGAAGCAGCCCAGCTCCGTCGATTTGACGTTTGCATGATCTTGCACGACTGCATGACTTGGCCGGGCCTTTGTTGCGACAGGAGTTGATGGTGTCACGCTTTGCCTACACATTGGTCTGGGTTGTGGAGACATTAGCATTCTTCAGGCTGCGAACACGTGGGGGCAGTCACAGACCAGCGCGATCCGGCTTCAACCGTCCGCGGAATTTTATCCAAACAGTTCCCTTATGACTAGCTTCATTAGCTGATGTGGAAGAAGTGATGGTTGCATGATGGATCACCTTCATCATGTCTGAATTCTCTTTGGCCCACAAAGACGCACATGCACAGGTTGGAGGCGTTGTGCCACCAGAGACGCACATTGCCAGGAGAGCGGCTTCCGAGCGATGGCGGCGTAGGAAACGCTCAAGCTCGACGGAGGTCGACGGATGAATAGAACAGAAGAACACCCCATTTGGATGCGCGTACTTGCAGACCGTCTGGTGTGCCCACACCGTGCCATTTGGATTGTCAAAGCTCTCCATATTGTGTGATTTTATTAATCCGCGGTCTACATTCAAAACCTGTGGGATGAGTAGACGACACCGACCAGGCTGCCTGGTGTCCACATAGGTTGGGTCGCGGCTGTCAGGATCGAGTACTTGATCTCGGGGGCTCCGTTGGAGCAAATCTCCATCGCCGCGGCCCCCGGTTTGAGGTGGAAAGGACCTTGGGGGAACGAAATTGGGTGCACTAAGTCCTATCTGCCTAAGTCCTTAATCCTACTTAGTCCTTGGTGTCTGTTGCACCTTTCCCGCGGCTCTCATTTGGGTGCAGTAGATGTTCTTAAAAAAACCACGACATAGTGGATTGCTCTGGATGTGTTTAAACAAATGCCAAACGCGTTCAAAATGAGCCCCAATTCCAGGTCCGATTCTTACTTTGGACACCGATGATTGATTTGAACCATCCCTCACTGTCATGGCCATGCACATCGGAGCCTCCTCTAGATCCACCCGTGGTGGGGCGTGTCGTCGGTGCTTTCGCGGTGGACGTGGGCAGGGGTGGTGAAGCAGCGTCCTGAGGCAGAGCCTTTGGCCAAGAATGGAGAGACCTGTCTGAGCCCACAGGCACTGTTGATTTTTGTCGCTTCTTGCGCACGCTTCTGGAAGCGTGGACTCGGGACTCTGGACCTTGGATTTGCAAAAGACAATGGCACGGAGCAGTGCCGCGGAGCCGCTGCAGGCTTGGGAGCTGGTGAAGGATTGTGTCATTGAAGGAAGGCCCATTGAGGACGGATTGGTGCTGGGGTCGGTGGAGCCAGGGAAGGGATGCCACTCCAGAGCTCAAAACAAGAAGGACGGATGCAGATGCAGTTTTCCACTCCACTTTAAAATTGTAGTGGACCAGTGGTCTAGAGTCTAGACTTCAGGAGTTGGCTCAAGAAGTATGCTGTACGCAGTGAGTCCGTGTCCCCAAAGCGCTCTTCCAAGATTGACCCAGACTCTTCGTCACCATGCAGACTCTTCTCTGCGACTCTTTGGGAGTATGTCTGCTTCTTGTTGGACCTGAGGACAGAAAAACTACCAATCCCTCCCATCAGCATCCATCAGCCCATCCCCGCCACGGCTCAACGCCGCGAAACGCCGGTGAGCACGGCCTCTGCTCGGTAGGACCGGATGGATTTCCACCTGCTCCTGAGAATGGCCCAGAGCTTAAGATCCGGCCTGGACAGGAGAAAGGATGAACAGGTCAAACAGGTCAAACTTGCATCGATCGATCGGAGGGCCCTTAAGATGCCTTAAGCATTTTCCTGCTGGTTCACAGTGACCGGTGAAGAACTATTTCTCAGTCTTGGTAGAATTCTCCTGTTGTTTCAGGGATGGAGGTGGCCCCCGACCTCATGTCATGTACGGAGACGTTCGCAGATTCTGTGACTCAGTGAACTCTGAAGAGCCATGTTGTCTCATGGGTTCCACATCCGAAGAACTCGTGGCATTCCTTTGATGACTTGCTTTTCCCGCAGATGGCTGGAAGCCATGGGGGTTCCTTCACCCTGAAATTGTCATGGGTACGTGGACACCACCCATGAAATCCGAAGACGAAATAGGTGGTCAGTGCGGTGGCTTTCCACGCAGCCACGATGATTCCAGGGGTTCTTACCTCTCTTCCTGAAAGAGATCGTGACTTTGCACCTGGAACGTAGTGGAACCTAAGGGAATGAATGGAACCCTGTGACGAAACCACCTGGAAATCCAGTCCGAACCAGAAACAAATTGGATGTTTCCTCAAAGAACCACTTGTTATGTAGAGGATCTCGATTGCCTTATCGGAACAACCATTTGTCTCTGGTTGGGACTGAATTTCCAGGCACGACTTTGCAGTTGTTTGCATGCTGGCCCTGATGCCGTTGCCATCTGATAGCTCGGATCCACCTTTTGCATTCGGACTTCACTTGGCGATTTAACCGACCAAAGGGACTGCAGAAGAATTTGTTTGCTAACACAACATGCTATTTGGGGTGTATTTGTGGACATGTGCTGTCAATGTGTATTTGTGGACATGTGCTGTCAATGTCCTTCAATGTCATGTCGCAATGCTTTTCCAAGCAGCCCCCAATCAAGATGCTTCTGCGTGTGTGAGTATACCTCACGTCACCCTGACGACTTGGTGAAGGAAACATCGTCATCATCTCGTCATCTTCGTGTGACTGAGGATGAGTCAAAGTACACCTTCCCAACCATCAAATATGCCACCCAGCTCTACGACTCCAGAGCGGAGAACTGCTTCAAGCTGGGCCAGCTGGAAATCACTAGGCGCAGCGTGGCGCAGCGCGGCGCAGCAAATCAAGGGATAACTTATGAAGCCTCAAGTGACTCATGAACAGTCAAGATAAATCAAAGAAGCAAGATGGTCGTGTGTTTACTCTGAAGGTCCCTTCTTGATGTGATTTTTCAGTGAAATATCCTTCTTCTTTCCAGCAATCCTTTGGAGTCTCCCTGCTGAGTCCGGCCGATCTGGACCCACATCTGCGGCGTCATACCAGGCGCTACATCCCATCTGCAGTCTTTAAGCAGATCGAATGTGGAACCCTTCCATACGTCAATGAAATGCGTGGCTTGGCCGCGACCCGGGGAAGTGTGATTCGCTTCGCCGTTATACACTGTCGACAGTCGACTACAATAGGGCACCCCATGGCACCCCCAAAGAAGGCCATCGTGATAGAAAGAGCAGCCGAAGAACCACAGGTTTCAATAAAAGGGCCTCCCCTTCTTTCATTTTTGGTTTGGAGCTCGCCCGCTTGGACCTGGGCCGTCGACCGTGGCAGACCTCGCCGCCTTTCCAATGCTGAGGTAAGATTTCGGTGATTTTCATCAATGGCTCTGGCTTGGATGTCCAGGGCCTCAGGAAGGAGCGTTTGCTCCAAAGACAAGTCTGCTCGCGGACGACCAGGGAACGAGAGAGACACCTACTTTGCAAAGTGAATTTGCAGAACATGTCTTGGATGATCTTTGGATCGAAAGGATTGTTGGCATTCGTCGGCATGTCTGCTTCATTCTACTTCACCCTTGCTTCGAATCGCCCGCTTCCGCCGCCTTCGAATCGACCTGTTGTCCACCCTCGCTTCCGCCGACTCCGCCGCCAGCGGCGCCGCACTCCCGTCGTCCGCGCTTCTTCCGTGGATGGCTGAGGTGATGTCGCCGGACGGCCCCAAACAAGCACAGGAGCTCATGTCTTCTGCTCGGGGGCCTGATCGGTGCCGGGCGGTCCATCCGGTCCTGGAGGGAAGAACACCTCAAACCGCATGGGATTCCACACGCTTGTGGCGGAGGGGGGGCAATGGACAATGATCCAAGTGGCCATAATTGAGGCCTCTTAAGGGTCTTAAGGACAGGTTTATAGTTGAAACTTTGAGGCTCAAGTAGCTTCTCAAGTATCTCTTCGCACTGCAATCAATCAACCGCTATATACTACACTCTTCCTGTTTCGGCTCTTTGCGTTGAAAACAGCAATGGATCTTCAGGGGCTGTCGTAGTCGCCCTCGGCTGAATCTAGCGCTTTTTTTCTTTCCGAGGTGCAAAAGGTGTGCTACTCTCACGAAGGAACACTTAACAAGTTTCTGATCGATGACAAGGGCATGTCGCTTGGCCAACAGAGTTGAGAGAGCGATCGAGGGATGGAGCGGTGTTGGCAAAGACGAAGCTTCGTTGCACCTGTTGCTTTCAACAAGCAGCACACGACTGTCTGGATGAAGGAAGCATCATTCTGAGAAGGTCTGGTTGTCTGCAAATTGGAGTGTTTTTGGAACTTTACTTGTAACTCTTTTGAGAGAAACAGCAACTCTTTTCACATCCCAATGTCTTTCTTGTCCGTGAACTAAACCTGGTGAAAGACCTGATCGAGCCCTGGTTCGCCACTTCATTTGGACAACGAAACTGGACGAGCCTCTTTCAACATGTCTTCAAGATCAATTGGAGATGATAATTGGACATCATTTTTTTGTTCGGATGATTGGAATGTCGGACTCTGCTCCCAGGCTCTTCCTGCTGGTTTTTGGTCTGCCACCTCTCGTTCACCCGGATGACCCTGCTCGTGCGGTCCTCGCCAGCATGGAGCTGGTCAAGGCGGGAGGAGAGACGATTCGTGGATGGCGTTCTCATCGGATTGAATCGGTCGTGGATGGAAGTTCTAACATCAATCTGCAGAAAACCATAGTTACTTGGGATGTTTTGAGAGGTTGAAGTGAGATGAAAGCAAGGTTTTTTTTTGTTTTCCGGTAGACTTTCGCTTAAACCAATCCATTGAATGAAGCACCCGGGAAGAATCAAAGGGAATCCGATGACCAGTCACCCTAGTCTCAGGGTCACTTGCGGAGAGGCTCCACTGAAGTGATCTTAGTTGGGGGGAGAGGCGTGGGTTTGGTGAAGATCCGAACACAGTGTGTGATTTTCTGTTTCGTCACCAACGCTGTGTTGCCACATTTCGAACGCAACTCCCTCTTGCAAAAGCCTGTCGAAGATCACATGTGGGGTGCAACGGATATTTAGGATCATCACTTGCCGAGTTTGCGAGGTCCAGGCTGTGATGATCCAGTTCTTTCAACTCTTTGCACCTGTGACTCACACGGACTCTGAACCACCACCGAGCCACCGAACCACCAAACCACCCCGAATACCAGATATCACACAGGATTTGTGTTATAAGGGTTGTTCTAAGTCATTCCCGGATGTCGTTGCAGCAGCCTTATCCGAAGTTAAGCCATCAGAGCCTGCCAAGGGTCAGATACCCTCGACCCTTCGCCTTGGCCTCGAATTGCAGAAGGAGACATCAATGCTTGGAATCCCCCAGGAAACGATCCATTCAGAGACCTTCTGTTGCTTCGGAGCCTTGCCAGAGAAAATCCATCCTTCCCCTCAAACTCGGACTGGGCGACCTTCTTGGAGCGACCGACCTCGGGGGAGTTCCCGAATTGGACGGACGGAGAGATCTTCACTTCTACGAGTGGAGTGTGTCACACGAGCTTTTAGGCCACACAGCTGGAGACCATGTGACACACCGGCAGCAAACTGGCAGGTGTTCAAGAGGTTGAACCTGATTGGACGCTTTGGAGTTACAACTGGCCGCAGTTATTGTGGGGTGGCCGCCTGAGATGGACTTGGTTGTCTTCTTTTGTCCGCAGAGCTACTTTTGGTTTGAACTTGGGGGTTTACCACCGAGACGGGGAGTTCATTCATTGTGGGATTTACCACTGAGACGCTGCAGAGTTGCGTTTGCTTGTCTTGCATCACGGGCGCTGGCACTTGTGTGATGACGAGGTTTGCGGCAGTGCCAAGCGAATGGAATACACAGCACCTGGGCCTTGATATAAAGGGAACGGAAGCACCCATGCTCGTTGGCCGTGAACGGAACCACCCTTTGGACACTGACACGGGGTGCCTGTGTCATTTGTACCCGGCTGAAAGACCCTAAAACGGTGTGCAGAGGTTCGACGCTGCCGCCAGCATGTAAAGAGTGAAACATCTATGATCACTTAGCATCTTTCAACTATAGAGGTCTTTGTACGCTCATCCGGAAATGCTCTAATTGCCGCGTAGAGCCCTTGGACGCACCTGGATCTACACTCCGTCACCGGTGATCATGGAGTTTTCCACCGTCATCCTTTAGGGGCGCCATCCATGTAAAAAGGATTGTTTGCTGAGTGTAGCCACGGAAAGATGACCATCTTCCAAATACCAATGCAGGTGGTGGCTTTCCACTCCACTTCCACCATGATTCTTGCATGTATACGACTTGCATGAAAGCCATTACCCTTCCTCCATTTGGAGAGCTTCGGAGAAGGGTTCAGAAGTCTTTAGCCCGGACTGCTCAGACTCGAACCGAGGTCCTTGGAGACTGCGTGAACCTCTCCGCACGCTTGATGGCGAACGCGCCGCCGCTCAGCGTCCTAGCCGACGAGGAGACGAGCCGGCACACGACAGGCGGAGGGGCGGCGGGACGAGAATGGACTGGCAGATTGGACTGGCAGTTTGGTGGGAGTGGGATCATTGATGTCAGCCCAAATTAAAGGGTCATGCAAAGAGACCACCTCCAAGCGTGGGGCTTTCATACGTTTTTAATGCATTTACACTGACGTGGTGCCCTCCTCATCCTTCTCCTACTTGTTCTGCTCTTAGTCTCTGCCTCCTCCTTCTCCTGCCTCATTTTCTCCTTTTTCCCCAAACAGTTTACTGTTAGGGGTTCTCAATGCTTTAAAGAATGGTCGCCTTGGTGCTGGATGGCCTGGTCGGGTTCCCGGCCGGCTTGTCTCCCACTTCCTTTCATTTGTCTCCCAGTTCTTTTCATTTGTCTCCCAGTTCTTTTCATTTGTCTCCCACACTGGTGCTTGTGGTCGGGTTCTGGCTGGCTTGTCTCCCCAACTTCCTTTCATTTGTCTCCCACTTCTTTTCACTTGTGTCCCAGTTCTTTTCACTTGTCTCCCAGGCTGGGTGCTTGTGGTCGGGTTCCCGGCTGGCTTGTCTCCCACTTCCTTTCATTTGTCTCAATTCTTTTCATTTGTCTCCCAGGCCACTTCTTTTCATTGTCTCCCAGACTAAATGCTTGTGGTCGGGTTCCCGGCCAGCTTGTCTCCCACTTCCTTTCATTTGTCTCCCACTTCTTTTCATTTGTCTCCCAGGCTGGGTGCTTGTGGTCGGGTTCCCGGCCGTCTTGTCTCCCACTCCTTTCATTTGTCTCCCACTTCTTTTCATTTGTCTCCCAGGCTGGGTGCTTGTGGTCAGGTTCCCGGCTGGCTTGTCTCCCACTTCCTTTCATTTGTCTCCCAAGCTCGGTGCTTGTGGTCGGGTTCCCGCCGGCTTGTCTCCCACTTCCTTTCATTTGTCTCCCACTTCTTTTCTGCTTGTGGTCAGGTTCCTGGCCGGCTTGTCTCCCACTTGCTTTCATTTGTCTCCCGGTTCTTTTCATTTGTCTCCCAGGCTGGGTGCTTGTAGTCGGGTTCCCCACTGGCTTGTTTCCCACTTCCTTTCATTTGTCTACCACTTCTTTTCATTTGTCTACCACTTCTTTTCAATTGTCTCCCAGTTCTTTTCATTTTTTGTCTCTCAGGCTGGGTGCTTGTGGTCGGGTTGGCGGCTGGCTTGTCTCCCACTTCCTTCCATTCTCGGTGCTTGTGGTCGGGTTCCCGGCCGGCTTGTCTCCCACTTCCTTGCATTTCTCCCATTTCCTTTTATTTGTCTCCCGCTTCTTTTCATTTGTCTCCCAGGCTGGGTGCTTTCCGGGCGGCTTGTCTCCCACTTCCTTGCATTTGTCCCCCGATTTTTCCCCAAACAGTTTACTGTTAGGGTTCTCAATTCTTTCTTAAGACGTGTCCGCCCTTTGTGTCACTGCTGGTGTCCGCCCATTTCCACTGGCCATGTAACATTTCTATTCATCCGTCTCCCAGGTCTGTCACTGTTGGTGTCCGCCCATTTCCGCTGGCCACGCAGCATTTCTATTCGTGTGTCTCCCAGGTCTGTCACTGGTGGTGTCCGCCCTTTTCCGCTGGTCGTGTAGCATTTCTTTTCAGTTGTCTCCCAGGTCTGTCACTGCTGGCGATGCAACATTTCTATTCATTTGTCTCCCAGGTCTGTCACTTGCGGTGTCCGCCCTTTTCCGCTGGGGATGCAACATTCTATTCATTTGTTTCCCAGGTCTGTCACTGCTAATGCCGGCCCTTTTCCGCTGGCCATGCAGCATTTCTGTTCATTTGTCTCCCAGGCCTGTCACTCGTGGTGTCCGCCCTTTTCTGCTGGCCATGTAGCATTTCTATTCATTTGTCTGCCACATCTGTCACTGCTGGTGTTTGTCCCTTTTCGCTAGCCATGTAGCATTTCTATTCATTTGTCTCCCAGGTCTGTCTCTGCTGGTGTCCTGCTGGCCATG